CTGAAAAATAATAGGGGTATTTGCCTGGCCAGCCAGGGATAGTAGTGGCCTTTGTGGTAAGCAGATCTTGCCATGATAAAGATTTCAGGTTGAATGTGATTGAAAGCTCATTGGGGTTGTAGCAAAGTTAAAGCTATCGGGAAGAATGCATACTCAGGCTAAGTATTTTTAATACTTTGTGCAGGCATCAACCTTCAGTAAGTGAAAGAAGCAGCTTGCAAAATTATATGACCCATTCTTAGTTTTAAAAATATTTTCACTTTCAGAGTAAAATGTTATGAAAGGCACTAAAATATAATGGTGATTTTCTCTGGGTGGTGGGATTATACCTTAAATTTTTTTTTGCCAAACCAACAAACAAACACGTGTTTACAATGAGAATAAGAAAATGAAGATATAAACTTAGTTCTGTGTACCCGAGGAGACCAACATGCAGAATTAACAGCCGGTGTAGCTGCAGGTGGAATTTGAAAGGGAAAATTGGAATATCGGAGGCTGGAAAGAGATGGAAAGACCTAGAAAGAACCCAGGACAATCTGCTATCATGGGGGCTCTTAAAGTACTGAAATAAGAAGAGGAGATGTCCTGCTGAAGATTTCTATAGGCACAGACCAATGACACTACAGTCTGTTTTCTACTAATTTGAAGGCAACTTCAAGCAAAAGAGACAGAAAGTACTGGGGCAGGGGGAAAACAGGGCTTGTCATTTTTTTCTCTCACCCAGGACCTGAAAGGTGAGAGGGCCCACTATGGAGGGTGGAAGTAAGGGAAAATTATCCAGAACAGTTAATGGCTCCAGGGCTCCCATCTGAAGGACACATAAACTGGAAAAGAGGGATAAGAGACGTGAACAACTGCTGCCTGAAGCAAAAAATTTAGCACTTTAAGCTTGTGCCAAACTAACTGCATAAAATGAAATTATGTACCTATAACTTCTGTATTCTGCATATAGTTTATACCCAAAGATCTTTTCACACTAGGGTAAAAATCAGCTGTGTTTTTAAAAAATAATTGCCAGAGCAATAGTTATTTTTGGAGTGGAGGTTGATACAGAGTTAAAACAAAACTTCTGAATCTCAAGGACATACTCTCCAGAGAAGTTACCCTCCCCTTATTTTTGAACCTTGGGGGTGGAAAGTTATTATTTAAGCAGTTTACATTTATTAAGCAGTTAGTATTTGGAAAGCTAAGTGCTTTGAATGGATGGTCTCACTTATTCTTCAAAGGAGACCTATAAGCTAGATATAACTATTATGCCCAACTATATAAATCAGAGAATTGAGATCTAGCTAGCAAAGAGCAATGTTAGGATTATCTGCCTCTGAAGCCCAAATTTCTTTTATTACATTTGGCCCTGCCTGGTATAGCTCAGTGGATTGAGTGTGGGCCTGCAAACCAGAGGGTTGCTGGTTTGATTCCTAGTAGGGGCACATGCCCAGTTTGCAGGACAGGTCCCCAGTGGGAGGCATACAAGAGGCAACCACACATTGATGTTTCTCTCCCTGTTTCTCCCTTCCCCCTCTCTAAAAATAAATAAAATATTTTTAAAAATTATCCTACATTTGTTAGTTTTGAAAATAATTTAAAGCAAGTAACAATAGCCATAAAATACTGAAATTAATAATACCTACAGTGAGATTATAAAGACATACAGTCATGCTGTGTCAGTAAAAATGTAAATTTGTTTGATCTTTCTGAAGGACAATTTGGCAATATTTACCAGAACAATTTGAAATGCTAGTACCAGTTGTTTCAATTACTGAAGTACTGAAATTCACCTTAAGTATTAGCTGGCAAAGATATAGGTTGTGTGGAAGATATTCAGTATAAAGAACTAGAAGAAACCAGTGCCCTTAAGTAGGGAACTGGTTAACTAAATCATGGTTCAGCCATTAAAAAACATGAGGTATGTGTGTATGTTCTGAAATAGAAAAATCACCAACATATAGTAGTAAGTGAAAAAAAGCAAGGTGCAGAATGGTGTGTATAGTGAGATTACTTTTGTAGTAATTTTTAAAAAGTACATATAGAAGACAAGTTGATAGATATACTAGCATATAAATAACATTTTCCCCCTGAAAGGAATGTTGTACAAGAAGCATTTTAACAATAAATACCTTTGAAAAGATTGAGTTATTTTATTATTTTTATATCATTTGAAAGTATTTGGGCTTTTTGTTTTGTTTTCCTGTCCATATCGGCTGATTAAAAAAACAAACTATTAACACTTTTAAAACCAAATAGCTAGCACTTATTAAAGGTTCATAATGAACCAGGCACTGTGCTAAGCATTTTACATATAATATTTACATTCTCATATTAAATGATTGGCTCTATTTTACAGGTGAGGATTAGAGGCTCAGGTGGGTGAAATCACTTGCTTGAGGTTCCATAGCTAGGAGGTGGGAAAGCTGTTGTTTAAATGCCTATCTGCCTTAGTTCAGAGCCCTAGGCTTTCGACTTCCAGGCACTGCTCTTCTACTTGGTCTTATGCTTTTATTGCATAATAAAAGTAAACTGGCAAACAAGTGGAGTCTAATGAGATAATGTATGTGAAAATTCTTTTCTAAGTATAGAGATGTGTGGTGAAGGACAGAGAGGTGGGGGTAGGGATTTTGTTTAAATTGGGCAGATCTGTGCATGGACCCCTAGACAGTCAGGATATTGTTTTTTGAACAACTTTATTTTGTTTATCCTTTAAAAATATTATAAAATTATGTTAATTCTCTTTTCTCATAATACCTTATTATTGTTTAAAAGTAAAATAGTATGAAGAAATAAAAATCCTTTCATAATATTCCTTACTAATAATTAATGACTGTTTCAGATTTTAATGGCTATATAACTATATATTGCATCCATTCATACATATTTTGCATAAATGGGAGCAAGTATACATTTGTTTTGTATCTTGCTTTTTTTTCAACCTTACAATATGTATCTTGGCCATTTTTTCAAATTGGCACTTCTGAATCTACTTTTCATTTTTAATAGCTGCATGGTATCCCATTTTGTGAATGTATACACACAGAGACCTTATTATTTTTTATCACTATTGGAAGACATTTAAATTATTTTCAATTGTTTGCTTTCCTAAATGCTGCTGTAATGAATCTCCTTCATAAGAAAGTTTAAAAGGATCTTCAGACTGAGTGTGACATTTATCAACTCTGTAGTTGCTGAGAGTGACCCAGTAGGATTCTGTACTGAAGGGAGGAGTATGCTTTACTTTGTGGAAAAACAAAGAACTCTATCCAAAACACTTTGACCAACACATTCAGAGCTATTAGAGTTGCCAACAGGTGGGACAACCTGAGAAAGAAGAGCTTTCTGTTTTGGCAATTTAATAACAGTGAAGAAACTTGCCATGACTATTCAACACTGCTTGCTGGATCAGAAGATGAATTTCTACACTAAGTTACAAGAAGGACTGGTGCAGCACTGGATTCCACCAGACAGTCTGGAAACAGCTAGACAAGGGGATGGGCAGCAGAGCTCCAAATCAGGCAACAGCACGTGTGGAAGGAGTAGTGACCCATGCGGAAACTCATAACTCATAGACCAAACTTCTTCCAGCAGAGGGCAGTGCCTCATATATCAGGCTAGACTAGAGCTAGCTAGCGGCAGCCAGAGTGGGAGACTTCGCAGGGACTGACTGCACCAGCCCTAGGCCAAGGAGAATTTCATTCAACTAAACTGTCTTTGGGATACTGTAAGTGACATTGGGGGAATACTCAGGGAGAGAGACACAGTAGGACTTCACACTATTGTGATTTGCCTATTTTCTAATATCTAACAGTTTGGGATAGGTAATATTTTTATACACTCTGACTATTAGGGCTTGCAGGTAAGGAATTTGGAGTCAATTTAACTTGACTGGCCAGCAAGACTCACAGGTTTCTGGGTGCATGATTGACTCAAAAAGGAAATGACACGCCTAAAATATAACCTAGTTTTCTGGGCCTGTTGATGTGACACAAAGTTTACAAATAGAAAGTTGGCCGAAAGATATGTAAGAAGTACCAATTTTATCTAAAAAATAGAAACTTAGTGTTTAACACCAGAGCCTTTCCCTTTTGAATTTCAATGACTATGAAGAATGGCTATTAAAGCAAACGTTAACGAGGAAAAGCCAGCCATGCAAATTGCTATGCATGCAGGCAATGGAAGACTAAAAGAAATTAGTCTGCAGGAATAAACAATTTCCAATCAACTCTTCCCTGAATATTGGTTACCTTTCCTGCTGTGCAGCTGTTGGGATCAAACAGAGGCAAAGCTGAGTTAGAGTACCTGCAAAGTTTATTTATAATCCTTTTGTTTTCCGAGCCTGGTGACAAGAAAAAGGAGTGACTTTGGCATTTGCTGGTAGACTTAAGGTAGATTTGCCAGATGAAAAAAGTTCTGTGTATTTAATTATTTGTCAGGGACAGCTAAGTAAAACACACCACGTACGAAATCATAGCAGTAGTGAACTCTAAGGGTAGTTTGCACTCATTTCTAAGAAAAAAAATCAAGTGGAAATAGTACCAGCAAAGAGAATCAACTTTCTTGGTTGTTTTATTTTTCTCTGCCACTTCTAGTCCAGGGATGGATGGCGTTCTCTCGGTCGTTAGATTATTACTGGCGCTCCTACACAGGCCAAGGAGCTGATCCAATCCTCAGGCGGGGCTAAGGGCGCCTGAGACGCGGATGGGCTTCAAAGGGTTTGGGGTGGGACTGTCAGGAGCAGCAGAAGAAGAAGCAGAGGCTTCGGACCGGCGGGGAAAGGAAGGATGGTGCAGGTTCGCGGAAAGGCCCTTTGCCAAGGCCATAGCACGGACCTGAAACAGTCCCTAGCCTTCTCGCTCAGCAGGGCGCGGCCCCACAGCCATCCGCCTGGTTCCGAAGAGGTGGGACTTTCCCCACCGGAAGTGATCCTGTACTGTCTCGGGGAACTGGGGCACCTCAGCCAGTGTGTCAGGGAAACCCTTCCGGGTGTATTCTGGGGGTGGGGGGTGGGGGGGTGGGTAAGGAAAAAAAGAGGTGGGTTCGCCTGGAGTCTTTGCGGCCGCAGCGGCCCGGACGGCACCCGCCCCTCTCCCCTCTGCGAATAGCAGCGCTGGGGCCGTGGTGAGAGCTAGCAGCTGGCCCGTGACCATGGCCTTGGCTTGACAGAGGCTCCGGGACGGCCGGGCGGGTGAGGACTGTAGGGTAAGCGGCGGCGGCGGCCGCGTTGGCAGAGATAGCCGAGTCTCGGGGGTCGGGGGAGCTGGGGGAGGCGGCAGCCGGAGCTGCTGGTTTGGGGCGGGCGGGGGTCAGGCGGGTAATGTGCGCCCTTCTCTCATCACAGGCCGGACGACGCCCGCGAGAGCCGGGCCCAGAGACCCGCCCGGCGGCAGTGACGGGTGCCCTGCCCAGAGGCCTGGGCCAGCTCTGCAGCGAGAAAAGGAAGCGGGGTCTCAGGGCCCCTTTGTGTGAAGGGCGAAGGAGGTGTTGGGGCAGCCCCTGGCTACGGGCTTCTCCGTCGCAAGCCTGCCCGTGAGGGCCCCTTGGTCTGCGGCCTCCAGCCCTTCCCCCAGAGGGGCGCGTTTCATCTCCCCACCCTCGCTGGGCTTTTCCAGGCGCGCCCTCCTCCCCACGCCCCCGGCCTAGGCTTCAGTTCCTATAGGAGGGGCATTACCATCCATCCCCACCCACCCCGACTCTTCACTCTCTCCCCTCCCCCGCCCTTAACTTCCTCTTCTTCCTCCGTCGGGCCCTCCGCTTCTCAGCGTTCTCCTCCCGAGTTCGCAGATTTCCGCCCACCTTCCGCCTCCCCAAGCTGCGCCGCAGTTAGCGGGGCTTTATTTTTCTTCCCTCGTGTAGGAGTTGGTGAAGGTGAGATTCATGAGGGAATACAAGGTAGTGGTGTTAGGGAGCGGAGGGGTTGGCAAGTCTGCCCTGACTGTGCAGTTTGTCACTGGGACTTTCATTGAGAAATATGACCCCACCATTGAAGATTTCTACCGCAAAGAGATCGAAGTGGACTCTTCTCCGTCGGTGCTAGAAATTCTGGACACCGCAGGAACTGAGCAGTTTGCCTCCATGAGAGATCTCTACATCAAAAACGGCCAAGGTTTCATCCTGGTTTATAGTCTCGTTAATCAGCAGTCTTTTCAGGTAACCAAACCAAGTCTTGTAATTTGTTAAAAGGGGGTGTGGTAATTCTACTTTTACTTCTGGTTTGCTTGAACCGTGCGTTAATGACTACGTTTTTGCTTTTGAAAGTTAGACATGGCGCATTTTTTGAGGTTACTCCTGGCATGAAAAAGTGTTAGGTTGTTTCTACAGAGACTAATAAAATAACAACCGTCAACAAATATTTTAAAGTTACTTTTACGTCAAAGAAAAGTGAAAACGAAATACATCAGTGCGTGTATATTTAGCTTGGAATATAACCTTCTGAAGTTGTGTGTTCATTTCAACAAGCATTGATTAATATACTCAACAAATCACCGTTAACTAATAATCTTGGGTACATAGAGCACTTTGGAAGGAAAACTATTTGGAGCTGAATATCTGTTGCACATATAACTCATCTGTGGCTGCTTCTCCCACCCCCTTCTCTGTGTTCACCCAAGTTTCTCAAGCAGCTTCAAAAACCTTTGTGCTGCAAGATGAACTCAAGGCCTGCCTTCTAGGCATTTTACTTACCTGGGGCATGTGAAGGAAATGTAATTAATTGAAAAGATTAGTGCTTGGAATTAATAAGCAACATAAATGCAGAATGACCCTCCCTTTCTGCAGTTATCCAAATTGTTTCTGATAACACTGACTATATTTATACAAAATACATGGATCCAGGAACACTGAGCAAGTGCAGATTTCTAACCTTGGCTGGGTGGCCAAACTGGAGATGGTCCAGTTTCCTCAGCAAATCTGCCCTATTCTCCACCGGGTTTAATATTATTTTAAGAGATGCAATAAATGTTGCTATTTATTCCCTGAAAATAACCTCATATTGACCCATTATATTGACCTCCATTGATTTAGGAAATGGACATTTTTCTGCATTTAAAGATGTCCGCTTAATGTTTCTTACTTAGGAGACATTAAGTGCTTTAGTCAAGCCAATGTGCTAATTCTAGTTTTCTTAGTATTTGAAATTAAAGTACTGTAGCCAATTTTTCACTAATGGGATATAGCACTTCAGGTTTTTTTTTCTTTTAAACATAATAAATTCTAGGTAAATGATTCAAGTTCATCATATGTAGGTCTAAATTCCAAAGCAGTAGTATCATAAGCACCTTTTCCTCCCAAAAGCACAAAAGGTGCTATTTGGCAGGCATATTCTTTCTGAGGGGGGAGCAGTGGGCAGGGCAAGGGAGAATAATGGGGGGAAATGGGGACAACTGTAATTGAAGAGCAATAAAAAAATTTTAAAAAGATCCTTTGGAGATTTGTTATTCTATTAGCTGACTCTCTAGAGCCTGGAAGTTGTGTGAAGGGTTTTTCATAAGATTTCAATTACCTCTACTTCGGTGATAGCCATAAATAGGGAGTAAAAAATCTGCCATTATTTCAACAGAGAATTAAACTCTTTTAAAGCCAAGTGACATAAATTCGGATTCTCAGCTGAACTTGGGTTTTTATGAAGACACTAGGAAATGAAGCTTAACCTAAAAGACTGAATTGATACATGACCAAATAAAGAAACATTGTTGCAAATATGAAACAACCGTGTTTTTGTAAATTTTCAGTCCCTTCATTTTCCTACAACCAACATGTGAATATGCTGTTTACTGTTAACTATTTAAATTAACACGTTTATATTTAAGTTAACCTGTGAAAAATCAAAAAAATGGTAATGTTAGTATAAAATTTATAATACTGTTTTTAATCAGTATGCCACCTCAAACTGATGATACTAGAGAATTGTTAAAGCTGTTATCTTTTATGATTAATTGTAATTACAAAAAAGTAATACACTTGGAGTAAATTTCAAGTTGTAAACCCAAATGTAGGCAAAGAAAAGGATGACTTCTCTTGGTCAGACTTCTGCCTGCCTGTGGATCCCAGGAGGTGCTCATTGTTACAATAGTTTTTATTATATTTAAGTATATTTAAGGTGTTTAATTTAAGTGAGATAAAAGTATACTATTTTATTTAAAATGAAAAATATAAGAGTATAAGTCTGTTTTTAACTTTGGTCTTCTAGGCATGACAGTATTTTTGTTTCCACCTTAAACTTTTTCTCTCAAGTGCTCTTGCTAAATGGCTAGAAATGCATTGATGCTACAATCCTGTGCTAGGATATCAGGTGTTAGGAGGAGTGATGACAAGCTGGCAGGTTTAAGGAGATAGCCAAACACCCTTATGTATGGATGGATTCATCATATTTGGAAACTGTTAAAATCAGTATAGACTGTGGGAAAGAAGTGATTGAATCAGAAGGTTAGTGTGCAACCTACATTTTATATTCTTCATAGAAACCCAGCAAGTAGGGTTTGTGGAAATTATCTAGTTTGTACTTCACTGGAGAATATGACATTTTCTTTGTTTGGGTGTCTGGTTTTATTTGTTTGCTTATTTATTTATATATAATCCTCACCTGAGGATGTTTTTTCATTGGGAGAGAAAGAGTAGGGGGAGGGGGAAAGAGGGGAGAATGGAGAGGGGTAGAGAGAAACATCAGTTGGTTGCCTTCTCATATATGCTGTGGGGTTTTTTAAAACTCAGCTTTCTGTACTCACTAAGGGATGAGTTCCTGTGAGACTGTCATATTTCTGTTATGGTTATGAAAACAGCATAATTTATTCTTTTTCTTTGTGATTGTTTGAATAGGATATCAAGCCAATGAGAGATCAGATTGTCCGAGTGAAGAGATATGAAAAAGTCCCACTAATCCTAGTAGGAAATAAAGTGGATCTGGAACCAGAAAGAGAGGTTATGTCTTCAGAAGGCAGAGCACTGGCTCAAGAATGGGGCTGTCCTTTCATGGAGACATCGGCAAAAAGTAAATCAATGGTGGATGAACTTTTTGCTGAGATCGTCAGGCAAATGAACTATTCATCCCTGCCCGAGAAGCAAGATCAGTGTTGTACAACTTGTGTTGTCCAGTAAAAAAGATAACCTCAATCATGGCCATACCGAGCAGGTTAGTCATTGATGGAATCTTATGAGCCACAGAGTGTTTTGTTTTTGATCAAGTATAACAAATCTGGTTAATGTTAATACACATTGTACTACCTTAAATTTCTGTATTTTAAAATAACATTTCCCTTTCAACAAAACAGTCAACATTCAATGCAGAAAATTAAGAAAAACAAAGGTAAGAAATTGCTGTATTCCCACAAGATTTATTTTTTTTAAGTGAGTCACTGTTCTCTCTGCTTGATTGATAACATTCCTTTGGGGAGGGATGAGTTAAAGGATAATACACCTTTTCAGTGTTACGGTAATTTAGCTTTCAGAATGCACAGGAGAGCATCCAGTAATAATTTCAGAAGATGATTAGTTTTGTTTTCTATACTTTTCTATCCTGGGCTAGAGAGGTGCTGTAATTTAAATAATCAATTTACTAATCACCAAAATGCTTGATTTAACAGAATGATTAATTAATCAAGTTCATCTGTACTTGGCACTTGAGAGACTTAAGTGATCTCTGATAATAACAAATGAATATATGGTCCAAATGAGAAGAATCTGGCAAAATCATCCGTGATGTGTTAGAAGGAGGAGTCCCAAGGCCAGGAAACATTTTTATTCATTTTAGTAAATAACAAAGTTAATAAAAATAATAACAAAACCTTTGAACTTTTCATTGAATCAAATGATAATAAAAGTTTTTTAAGTGAATGAGTTTTTGAAAAAGTTGATATATAAAACTTACTGAGCCTTTACAATGAGATTATTTTATTCATATCATGACTTTTCAATCTAGATTGTAATTGGGCAGATAATATCACTTAGACATTTAGATAGTGAGATAAAACAATCAATAGACTGAATGACTGAGAAACCCGCAGCAAATGCCAAACTCGCCGGACAACATCAGGAATGGAATTGATTGTTTTGAGCCAAGAATGAACTCAAGTCTTGGAGGCAGTGTCGCAAATGGCAACAGACATTTCAGATCACAGTGGTGATTTCTAATCAAAGGTCTGGCTTTATATGTGCTCCCTGGACAAAAGATTAATGGTTCCTAATTTATCTTCAGGGAAGATTTTCTGTCAGGTAATGTCATCTTTGAAAAGGAAGGATGACCACAGTGTTTCATTCAAAATGCTTTCACTCATCAGCTTTCTAGAATACCAGAATATCCTGGAAAAATCATTTATTTTCTTATACCTGGCTATATCTATTACCTTATAAAGTCACTATTCAGACTGTATTCCAGCATATGTTTTTATGATAGTGTCACACTTACAGTATAGTATTTTGACGTATGTAGGTGATCAAGTTTCATGTTATTGCTTCCATAATCTTTCTTCTTAAACTGTAAGCCAGCTTCAAGTTTGAACAAGCTCTGAACAGTGATTATTTCTTCACCATTATGCTCTATTTCTCTGACACTCTTAATTGGGCAAATGACAGAAGTTTACACATTTTAATTTTATTGTTTTTATGAAAAATTAACCAGCTCCCACAAACAGTCCCCATTTTTTCCATTATTATTGTAGACAAGTATATGAAGCAAACAGAATAAAATTGACCTCATACATGTAGAGGGCCAGTTGTCTCAGTCAAATCGGCAAATGGGCAATTTCTAAACCTATTTTTAAATCTTATTCTGGATTATTTCTGAGTTTCTTTTATTTTGTAACTTTTGTGACTAAATTACTTTTAGCCCATTTGGTTACCTATAGGAATGATTAAGTATTTTGAAATATCTCAAGCCAATTCTGTTTATATTTTTGTTATATACTAAAAATCAGAAAATATTAATACTAATAATTGCTTATTTTTATAATAATGGGTCAAATTGCCTGTGTAGTCTTTTGTGTTTTTTTTAAGCAGAATACACTATTGAAAGTGCAACCCTCACAATAAAATATCTAATTAGCTGAATTTCTGAAACTATTTAAGGGAATTCCCTGACCAAGACTCACCAAGATCTTTTAGAACAAAGGACATGATATTCTGTTTTCCTCCCCTCCCCCCTTTTCTTTTCTATCAAATAAGATTGAACTATGGAAATCTGTAATCCAAGATCCAGAAAGCTTGTGGTTGTGATTGCTCACTATTTAAAAACACAGGTGATGGGTTCTGAATCCTGTAGCTTGAATCATGAAGGCCTGAGGTCTGTCTGCCTCAGATCTAGATAGAAGATCAAACTTTGACAAGTAAAGTTGATTTGAGAAATGCTTGTCCTTAATATTTAGAAGACTACTTTGTACAAGTGAGAAATAATAAGATACTAGTAAGTCAGAAAGACTGTGATTTTTATAGCTTGATTGCTCTTAAATGAAAGAGAAACTTCATTAATGTGCTAAGAATGCTTCTGATAATTCCTCACATTTATTTCTTACCACCTTTCATTTTGGGTCACCAGTCTCTTGTCCAACACCTGCTTATCTGCGTGGCTCCCAGGATTGTTTCCTCACCTTTCAACCTCTCATTGGAAGTAACCTTAGTGTGAGTTTGGATTCATGGCCAGATTCTTTACATACTGCTTTCATGGCTGGTTTCCTTACTGACCTGAGTAGCCTGCAATCAGGTGCATTGAAGGACTTTTTTTACTGTGCAGCAGCAATGTAATAAAAACTCAGGTCAGTGTTGTAGCCCTGTAGTTTGCTTTTACTAAGTATATCATAGCACCTCAGGGATGGTGTGAATAATTGGCAGATGGCTATTTTGGTATAAATACTGTTGTTGAGAATGGTGGGTATTTTGTTAATCTCATAATACTATGAAATAAGTAAATTACAGTGTTGTGGGGGTTCAGGGAAAGCACAGACCACATCCATTCAAAGCTGGTTTTAATATTCTGGCCTTTTTGTTGGGGGTGGGGTGTAGGATGTTTAATAGAATCCCTTTACTAGGTGCCAATAGCATTCCCTCCATCCCTAAGTTGTGACAAACATGAATTTCTCCATACATTGCCAAACATCTCCTAGGGGCCAAAATTTCTCCTAAGAACCACTGAATTAGAGGAATTGGGGAGTAGTAACCTTTGTGTCAGGTAGGATATGAGTGGATAGGGGTGGGGTAGAGGTGATTACAAACAGAGAGAATGCCAAAAAGAAGTAAAATAATATTTTTTTTAAATTTTTTAAAAGATTTTATTTATTTATCTTCAGAGGGGAAGGGAAGGAGAGAGGGAGAGAAACATCAATGTATGGTTGCCTTTTGTGCATCTCCTGCTGGGAACTGGCCTGCAGGGAACAGGTCTGCAACCCAGGCATGTGCCCTGACTGGGAATCGAACCGAGATTGTCTGGTTCGCAGGCCCGCGCTCAATCCACTGAGCTACACCAGCCAGGCAAAATAATATCTTAAAATATTTTGTTGATTTGCTGAAAGGAAGGTGGGAAATGAAGTAAAGTTATAACTTAAATTCGACAGTTTGGTAAATACCCTTTTGGCAAATATGATTTTAAAGGTTACCTACTTTTCAAAGGTTCCTATATCCCTGTCCAATATTGACAAAAGTTATAAAACAAGGAAAACAAATAAAAAAATGTGTTCTTCACTATAGTTTGAAGATCTGCAAAATTTAATCCTATTTTCCTCCATGTATTATGAAAAGGTTCTTCCAATGAGAGTAAATGGTGCATAAGAGTACCAAATACCAGGAATCAAGCTGAAAGAATGAAAATCAATATTTATGTCAGCCTCACTTCATCATATATGTTATCCTGAACAAAAAGGGAGATTCTTGATTCAAGACTAGCACTTCATTTCACGTGGCAACAGAATGCACAGGATGTTAAGGCTTCTGAAAGGCCAAACCATTAATTAATGTCATTTCAGTCTAGCTGGCTTTACTATTTCTAAACACAGTGGAATTGATTAGTTATTTAATTTTTAAAATAAATGTGTGGAATCTTTTCTAATATTTCCATCTTTTAATTAGATATGTGCTGGGGAGTTAGCAGATGTGAGGGGAAAAATCATGAACGTTGGATCACATTGTGTACTTTAAAATGCTGGCATCTTCCAACATCCAAGTTACATGCTAATCACATCAGTTACAACACTGGGGTAGAATTGTATTGCAGAAGTTAGAGTTTAGATACGTTTTTCCCCGGCCCTATTTTGCATATCACTTTGAGTGGGGAAAGGAGCTAATTTTAAATGTTCATTTGTCATCCAGTTCGAATGGAGCCTGTGGCATGGTAGCCCTGAATGGGGGGGGGAGCATGCTTTAGAAGTGGTGTGTACCTTAAAGACATGCAATGGCCCTGGGGTAAGAGGAGAGAAAACAGTTGCCTTGTTCTTTCTGTCCCACTAATTCTTTCAGACCTTGACTGATCTCCACAAAGTTCATGGTTTGTGACGGTTCAGAGTTGATAGGTGCCTAGTTAGACCTACTGTGGGTGTGGAAATGTCTGGTGAATTTTTGTATGTATATGTTACCTTTTAATTGCTTCCTTTAACCCCAAGATTAGGCTTTTATTGCAGAATGAAATGCATGTGAGCCATTCAGTTTTACTCTATTACCTCCCTGGTTTAGAATGAACCATCAGTAGAATTAACAAAAGTTGCATCATGGAGTTGGAGAATTGCTACCAAGGAAGTATTCTAGCCTACTGCAGAAAGATTCCCTTCATAGGATTACTTCTCAGTGAAATTCTAAAATCCAGAACATAATGTCATTAAGAAAAACTTTTTCTATCAAAACATAATCCTAAATTTATTTGATTAGTTATAGTTTTAGGAATATTGGATATAGTAAAAGCACTTTAGAGTTGAGGGGAGCAGTATCCTACTTAGTCTAATTTGAAGTAAACACCTAGGATCAGATCATTGGGTTCACACTGTTGCTGCTTCTTATCACTGGATATGATCATTCTATTTGAGATCTCAGAATTGAACTCCTTATGTTAATTTAAACTTAAAGAGATTTTAGGTCAGACCATAAGAAAAATTGCTTCTCCCTCTCTCCTTCTCTGGGTTCACCATAAACTTTTGGAGTACATGTTCTTTTTAAAGC